AAAAATATATATTTTGGTCACCATACAGAAAAAAAATATATATTTTTTAATATATTGTTTCAAAACATACAAAAAAATGGCCAAAAATATTTTTGCTAAAATATGTTTCAGAATATATTTACGTAAATATATTTTCTACTAATATATATATATATATATATATTAGCTGTTTTTCTGTATTTTTGAAAAAATTTAAAAATTGCATTTAAAAATATATTTTGACCTCCATATATTTCAGTCCAAGAAAATGCATTCACATATGTCACATTTGAAGAAAAACTTGATTTGTTGTCTATAACACGTGTGAACATATTACACATTTGAAAGAACCTCAGCATAGAACAATTTAAAATGCTCCAAAAAATGCAATATATAAAAAATATGAAACATTATTAAATCATCATAAATCTAGTTTTGACCTCTAGTAGGTCATCCACTTTTGTATTTAGCTTAAATGTATGTGTTTTCTTGCCCCTGAAAATACATTTAGAAATATATTTTGGTAAATAAAGGTTGAAACTAAATATATAAATATATTTCATTGAGCTTCACTGTTTTCCATCTGTGCTGTTGCTCAGAATATCTTCAGCTGTGATTGGGTTGCATTTGATCACATGACTGATTGAGTTATGCAGCAATTGATGCACTTTTTCACATTATTGTGGATTATGGACGTCTTAAATAACGTCTTAATGTTGGATTTGTTTCAGCTTTTGTCTTCTCCAGATGTTAACTGATGGACTGGAGTGCTGTGGATTACTTGTGATGTTTTTATCAGCTCTCGTTCTGACGGCACCCATTCACTGCAGTGCATCCATTGCTGAGACAGTGCTGTGGATTACTTGAGTTAATGATGCTTTGAAATCTTAAATCCGCTCTCCTCCTCACGATCGGCGCAGAAGCCGCTGAATGTTTCCGTCTGTCGAGCTGAACTGAAGTTGTTTGTGTTTCGCAGCAGGGCGTCCCGCTGTCTCTGACGGTGAACTTTGACCTGCGGGCTCATGTGGAGGCTCTGGGTCATAACGTGTCGGGCTGTATGGGGGTCAATCTGTCTCCCCGGAGGTGCGGAGGCTTTCTGACCAAACGCGGAGGACGAGTGAAGACCTGGAGGAGGAGGTGGTTCATCTTCGATCTGGACCACCAGAGACTGGCCTACTACACCGGTGAGAGAGAGACAAACACATGATATTGTGCTGAGTGTGTTATTGTGCTGATATCTTCAGGACTACCACGGCCAGCTGACTCCTAAAGTTTTTAATATTCTTCATATTCTGTGTGGTGGTCAGTTCACAGCAGTGATAGAAGTTAATCTTTTCCAATAAGTTTAAATGGATTTTTACCTTTAATGGGCATTTTTACCTTTATAAAGCCATTTCTAAAAGTGTGCATCATCTATTCAGTCAAATTCTTAAATTGAATCAGTCAATTAGAATAATAAGTAATTTGGGCTGTTACCAAACAAATGAAATCAGTATTGACTAAATTCATCTTTGCAGTGCAGAGGAAACACAGAAGCTGCATCTGAAGTGGCATTTAGATGTATTTACACACTGTTTAATGCAGGACATGAATGCATTTAACCTGCAGTTACAAATGCATAAATAATGTTTTGATATTTTAAACATAAAACGTTGAATACTGATATTTGAAAATATAAAAAAAAAAATGAAAAGATACTTTGAATGTGAAATTAAAACCGCCAGCAGGTGGCAGCAAGTCACTGTTAATATTGGCGAAATAGAGCAAAAACAGTCAATAGTGTGTCTAAAACATAAGTGTCTTAATATTAAATTCTTGTTTATTGAACTGCTGTATAAAATCAATATCACATTTGTAATCATGCTGCTTTTGGTGGAAAAAACGTCAGTGTTCGCGTGATACTGGTTAACTATATGAAATAATATAATTATATACATTTCCGTACACTTGAATTTTGTGATCATTCTAAATGCATTTTAATAAACTGAATCATGCAGTGAAAGAACATTTAGAAGTGCAACCCTAATACCATTTAAATAAAGAAAACACTTACTAAAAAATATATATTTCATCTGTTTACTTGCATTCCATGCAGTGTTATTTCAGTGTCATTTAAAGATATTTTAAATTCGTTTTATTTTTGTGTTTTCCATTTTCATTTAACATTTTAGTAAAGTTTTTTTTTATATGTCTATATGGTTTTTAGTTATTTTTATTTCAGTTTCAGTTATTTTAGTACATCAAGTTAAACTATCAATATTAAATATAATATTAATAACAATTAATGATATCTCTGAATCATTTTTATTTTATATTTTCCATTTTAATTTTAGTTGTAGTATTTTTGTTGTGTGTTTTTTTTTATATATTTCTATATGGTTTTTAGTTCTTTTTATTTTAGTTTCAGTTATTTTACTACATGAAGTTAAACTAAACGAAAATATTAATATAATAAATAGAATATTAATAACATTTTTGAATCATTTTTATTTTATATTTTCCATTTTAATTTTAGTTGTAGTATTTTATTTTTAATATGTCTATATAGTTTGTAGTTATTTTTATTTTAGTGTCAGTTATTTAATACATTGAGGAAAACTAAATGAAAATATGAATATAATAAATAGAATATTAATAATATTTTTGAATAAATTTTATTTTATATTTTCCATTTTAATTTTAAAGTTGTAGTAATTTTGTTGTGTGTGTGTGTGTGTGTGTGTGTGTGTGTGAGAGAGAGTGAGTGTGTGTGTTTTAAATATGTCTATATGGTTTTTATTATTTGTTATTTTAGTCATGTTAGTTATTTTATTACTTTAAGTTACACTGAGCAAAAATTAGACATTTTGCCTTAGCAACTAGCTGTTTTTTTGTTTTTTTTAGTTCAGATAATATTTGATTTCAAATCGCAAAAATGTGTGTGCTTTTCTTTAATGGTTTTAGTTTTAGTTAACGATAATCATGTAAGCATTCACCAATATTAGAGAACCGCGAACATGCAAATGTGTCCTAAACAACTCAAATACTGAGTTCAAATGTCTGTGTGGCTTCATGAAAGAGGCTCATCTGAGAGAAGAGCTTGTGAATGGCTGTATTACAAACACGTCACACTGATATGAGCTGGAAGCCCGTGTGTGATCTCACTGCTCTTCTCCTTGTTTCCTCAGAACTCGATGAGAAGAAACTCAAAGGCGTGATTTACTTCCAGGCCATCGAGGAGGTTTATTACGATCATCTGCGAACAGCTACAACAGTGAGTTCATAACGACTTTAGCCAGCTCCAGACTGAACTGTTTTACTCTCGTGTGTGTCCCTGCAGCACAAAAGCAGTGTTAAGTCGCTGGGGTATATTTGTAGCAAGATATTTCTATAAATCAGATGATTTCTAAGGGTTGACTTATTTCTGCGTCTCTCGTTGTGCCGTTCTCAGTCTCCGCGGCCGAGTCTCACCTTCTGTGTGAAAACATACGAGCGGCTCTTTTTCCTGGCGGCTCACAGCGCTGAAGCCATGAGGATCTGGATGGACGTTATAGTCACGGCCACAGACGAACACAGCAGATACTGATGAAAGCTGCAGATCAGATCACTCAGGAGCAGAGGATGCTGGGATACGGAGCTTCAGGGGTCTGTGTTCTGCTGCCACCTGCTGTTACACTACCAGAACACACCTCAGTGACTTACGCATTATTTATTACTCTTACTTTTTTGTCATATTTTGCTATTGAAATGGGGGGGGGGATCCTGCAAAGGGTTAATAAATATTTACATTCCAAACAAGGTGTCAGAACGAGCAGTTCATTGTGATTCTGTGCAGGGAAAGGAAAAATATTAATAAATATTATTTAAATAAACAAATGCAATTTAAACCTAAAGGAAAAATCTATTTCAAAATGCATGCATATTTCAAAATGAGTATTCAAATAAGTAGTTCACATAAAATTAAACTTTTATTTATATATATACGTAATGAAATAAATTATATAAAATGAATAAATAGTTCACTTAAAATTGCACTTTTGTAAAATTGTAAATAAATAAAAATAAAAACATGGTTTAACAAAATAAAAAAAACAAAAATAAATAAAAATGCATCTTCTAATAAGACTAAGATGGGGCTTATTATGTGTGTGTGTGTATATTTATATCTATCATGAGAACTCTCTGAAGATTTTAGCATTGATATGACTATGTTAATGTATTTGGTCTTGACAGAATAGATCTGTACAGGTACAGGAACTTGCTGCTGCACAAATAGCATATATACTAACCCGCAGCAGATCTATGCAGGTGGAGCTGGGGGAGGTGGAGGGTTTCAGAGGAACTCTAAAGCGTGCTGAGAAATGCTTTAGTGAATGATAACCAGACGTTTAAATGTAAAGCAGCTAGCTCATTGGCTGCCTATGCAACATGAACCAATCAGCTTGTGCCAAGAAGTTTAACACTCAGTTTGTGTTAACGACCGATCAGCCTGCCATCTAGAGTTTAATGATAGAACTTGGCATAGATGTGTGTGTGAAACTTTTGTTTTTATATATATATATATATATATATATCCTTTAAAATATAATTTATTTCTGTGATCAAAGCTGAATTTCCATCATCATTACTCCAGTATAAAGTGTCACATGATCT